GCGGCTTACCTGCCAGAGCAGCAATCATACATTTCAGCAAACTATCTCATTTTTGGTGTGGAAATTTTCGAAAACTGCATAGCGGGAGTCAAATTGAGCCAAAAAACAAATCATTTGACTGGAGTTTGTGTGACGATAACTGTGATTTATTCCTAAATGAGAGGCCCGAGCGCGCGCAAAGCACATTTTCTGGAAGATATTAAAAGGAAACACACCATTCAGGGAAAATCTTTGAGGACGGATGGCACAGAGTAGACAAGAGGAGTCCAAAAACACCGCCAAAGGATGAATGTAAATTTAAAGGAGAACTATGGGGTCAGGGCTTTTCCCCATAGTTCCCCTAAGGGTCACGGGAGGACATAAACTAGCGCCCTCCCGTGACCCAAAGACCAGTATATAGCAAGCTACAGCTCGCGGTATACTTAGACCGTCGCAGCCGGGGCGGATCCCGACATTACTGTCTGGATCCACCCAGCTGCGTGATTGACAGCTGGCTCTGCCTATCTACAGGGCAGAGCCAGCTGTACCCGCCCCCTCCTCCGTCCGTTCCTGGTGGCCGAAGAGAGCCGAAGGATCAGCTGAAGCTACGGCTGGACCCTTTGGCTCTTTAGTGAATAACCCCCTTAGTGTTGCCAGAGCTGTAGTCAGTCTGGCTAAATTTTCTGTACCTGCCTGAGTGGGGTGTGACCCTGCTGCCTTGTGGGACAGCCAATGGAGGAACATTATGAGTTTGTGTGGGGCTCACCAGCCAATCACGTGGGGTTTCTTGGCCATTGGTGCTTGTTGGGGAAGTGTATATATACTCAGAGGAATTGCCATGTGCTCAGTCTAATCTTGGTTGGAGTTTAGTCTAGCCTGCCCCCATGCTTGGCTGGGAAAGCTCAAGTGCGTGGAAACGTTTGACTAGGCTTAATACTGATTAGGGAAGAGAACTGGAGAAGCTGATGGCTACTGGAGGTGCCTGATACTGGAATGGACCTCGAGTCTGGTGTCTCTCGAACTGAAGATCTGTCAGGGCCGAGATAATGGGCCGGGAGTGGAACCCCTTGGCAGGGATGAAATATGTCCAAATCCGCAGCACAAAAGGGTAATCCAAATAGAGTAGTTAAGCCCAGTTCCGGATCGTGGCAGGCAGCAAGAATCGTAGTCGAAGGGTCAATCGAAAGGGTCGGTAGCCGGGAAGTCAGATCAATAAACAGGTTCACAGGAGGGAGCTGGGTGTTCACCATGAGGTAGAATAACACAGCAATGAGTCAAGGCTCTGACCAGCTTTATATACACAGGAAACCCAGGACCGCCCCCTAGCTGCCAGGGCAACCCGGAAGCTTCCCTAGTCAGGAGCCAATCACAAGGCCGAGGGCAGTTGGTGAAAGCTGAAGTCCTCCCCCAGCCTGAGTAGCATCTGGAAAGTGGGATGGCGCAGGCGTACTCGTGCATGCGCACCGTCCATACCAGCGCCCGATGCCCTGCGAGGAGGAGCCCGATGCCCGTGCCGGCGAGCCTGGTGAGGAATGGCCCCCTGGGTCCCTGGCAAGATCTCATGCCTATCTCTGTTCAGCTGTGGCTCTAATACCCATTACCCAGTGTCAGCGTGTGCTCCTATTGATTCTATCTATCTATCTATCTGTGTATCCGTTACTTTTTTTTTTTAGGCCACTCCCTTTAGTAACTAATCCATTGATCTTGGAACCCTTTTTACTCACCTCTTTGTAATGCACGAAAGATATACCAAAACACGCCCACTAAAGACTCCTTGTTACCCCTTCACATACAAAAAGTCAATTGAACTGAGAAATTTCGGGCATGAATCTATGAATAATACCTAAAACCTAAAATAATATTATCTGAAGATATAAAAACTGAAAATGATTTTCTGCAGCTCTTTAGAAGAGTAAAGGGCCCCCAAAGTTTAGTATGTTGCTCTCCAGTACAGTGAACATCTTTATCTCTTCATATACATACATGGTAGTTGGAGAACCAATTTTTTTTTTCTTCTTCAAGCAGACATTAAATAACAAACACATTTTGATGAGGCGGTTCTGCCTAGTGGAACATCTTTGAACGGGTTCCTTTGTAGCTATGGAAACATCCACTCCGCCACCTATATAACATAATTTATTTCTTAATGTGTGAAAGGAAAGAAGAAACATTTCCATAAATAGTGGTTTCTGCCAAGAAAAAGGGGGTTGTGACAGGCCAAGAGAAGTGTTGGCGCTCGGCCCGTTCCATGGAACATCAAAGTCTTCACACAAGTGTGGCAATTTAATTCCTCCCGTGGAGGTACTCCAGAGTATTGGATCCCTCTGAATGGAAGACGAGGCCTTCCCAGTGATAAAGCTGCATTTCACGCTATTACTATTCATTAGACCTGATGTGAAAGAAAAATTGTGTGTACAGTGCCCTCAAAAATTGTGAGCAAGCAAGGCCCAAGCCTAAAATAATCACAGATAGGGCGGCAGCATGGCCTTTGTTTTCACTCGCCCCCTTTAAAAAAATGTTTTTTTTTTAGCTGTGTATACTAAAAATTGTGTGCTAATTGTCTACGATCAAAGGGTACAATTTAGGGATGAGCAGAGTGATTTTTGCAAAATTGATTTAATGACAAAATTACCAATTTGGTTGTTGGCAAAATTTTACAAAAGCGAAATCTTTCAATTTTTGTTAGAGCTTCTTAGAAGAAGAGGAAGAGAGAGAGAGAGAGAGAGAGAGAGGGGGGGGGGAGAGAGAATGAGAGAGGGGGAGAGGAAAGAGGGAGAGAGAGCGAGGGAGAGAAAGATGAGAGAGAGAGAGAGAGAGAGAGAGGTGGGAGGGATGGTGCAGAGAAGATAGAGTAATTTTGGATAATTTAGTCTATTTGAGTCTTAGTTGTGCTTTTTTAATTTTTCTGTATTTGGTCGTTATTTGTACACTGTGTCTTCACATTTTTTAATTGAAATTTTTTGCTTTCCAATTTTTTTTCTAGTTTTTGATAATTTTTTTGCCACGAGAACTGGTCCAGGATAATCAAAAGGAACTTTTGTTACCCTCAGGTTTATGTGGTCGGTGGGGCTATTCCGTTCTGTAGGATTCCTAAGTTAAATGATTGTTAGGAGAAATGTTGCTATAAATACTTATTCACTTCTAAAAGTATGATAACCACCCCCTCTACTAGTCCACCTCAGCAGTCCTAATTTAAGATACAAGTTCAGACCAAACACAGCTCTCCTCTGGGTGTTGATGGGCTGGGGGCTCTGGACAGAAGAGCGGTCTATCGTTAAGGAATGATCTGACCGGCTGGACCCTCAGCACCAGTGCCAACCGGCGTCGCCATGAATATGAATGCGCAGTTTGCGTTTTACTGTATTTTTCATTTTTGTTTTCTAGTACAACCCCATCATCTCTCAGCGAAAATTAGTTTTCAAAGTGTAGTATTTTTTTTGTAACCAAGATATAGATCATCTGCGATTTCATCATTGCCAGACCTCTTCTATTTTTCTTTGCCCATATGTTACAAAGCAAACCGTGCAACATGTAAAGAGCAATCTGGGATGATGGCATGCAAGATGAATACATTGTCTCCTCAAGATTTGTAAATATAATTCATATACACAGCAAAAAAAAAAAAGAGAAAAAGCGTCCATATTGTGCTGGGTAAGGCGGGTGTATGTGGAGCTGCCAACTTTCCCAATGCATTCCTTTTGCCATTTCCTACCCACCCAAATGATAAGAGCCGGGTAATTCATAGATACTGTAAGTGAAACAAAACAATATGTAACTATCCTCACACGCTTCAAGGGAATGATGTTTCGGTGTATTCACTGTGAGTGGGACAGGCTGGCTACTAATTTAACAATAAAAGAAAACAAATGTAATCTTTATGGTCACCGCCACCTCAGGGTGAATACATTATGTAGCAACTATTTATCAATGTCACCAACCAGGTTCTCAGAAATACAATTACATGTTTTATTGCAACATATAAAACCATCATAAAAGCATTTCTACAGATCACTATCTTGTAGCACTGATCAGCCCTCTTATGTAAGCTTCCTTTATAGTATACTTGACGGTTCTAATGACATTCACTAAAGACTGGTGACAAAACAAAGAATGGAGCCTGTCCCTTCACTAGAGGCCAGTGACATCACTGGTAATGCAGCCTATGCATTCACTTAAGACTGGTGACATCACTGAGAATACAGCCTATCCATTTACTAGAGACCGGTGACATCACTGAGAATGCAGCCTATCCATTTACTAGAGACCGGTGACATCACTGAGAATGCAGCCTATCAATTCACTAGAAAGCGGTGACATGACTAAGAATGCAGCCTATCCATTAACTAGAGACCGGTGACATCACTGAGAATGCAGCCTATCCATTCACTAGAGACCGGTGACATCACTGAGAATGTAGCCTATCCGTTCACTAGAGACCGGTGACATCACTGAGAATGCAGCCAATCCATTCACTAGAGACCAGTGACATAAAAAAATTGAAAAAAATTGATTGTGAGCAACAAGATGTATGGAATGGGGAGGATAATACCAAACATAAAGGGAAAAATAAATTGCTAAATAGATTTTCAAAATTTGTGATCGCCAAAGTGCTCTGAATTCCAGAAAACTAGATCATGCCGAGCCTTGTTGTCTTTCAGTAATAGGAAAGTTGTCATATATCGATCACCATGGTTCTCATGACAGTAAAAGAAACTTGGGAACTTTTAAACAAAATTACTGAAGGTGATTAAACCATATTGGGGGGGAGGGGGGTGTTGTAGAGATTCTGTGCTCAGAGGCAGATGGCACCTCAGTTTTATTTCATGAATTTCCCAAGCTGGTTTATGATGAACCTCATGATTTATCTTTGTTCTCTGTGTCTGGCCCTGAGCAGGAAGGAGCCGAAAAATATTGTCTGTACATTCTCTAGTTCTGCTCTTCCTCGGAGGGGAGGATGATTCCTCTCCGTGTTGTCTTGGTTTGCGTTCTCCTCAATGTTGTTATTTTATATGTCCTTTCAGGTCAAGATCGCAGCGAAGCCACATTGATAAAGAGGTTTAAAGGGGACGGCGTCAGGTACAAAGCAAAACTAATTGGAATCGACGAGGTTTCTGCCGCGAGAGGGGACAAGTTATGTCAAGACTCAATGATTAAACTCAAGGTGAGGCCTCCTTCCTTGCTTCCATGTTTTAAATCCCCAAAGAGTATTCAATTTTTTAATTTCTGTGTATGCCAGTTAGGATAATTTTGGTGATGACATTTTGGAAGGGGAAGAAAGCTGAAAACCAAAATGTCATAGTACAATGCACTTGTGTACAATCATGACCCAACTCCAGATTTAGAAAAAGAGGAGCATGTTGTGACAGAGTGGCCGGAGCTGGAAGAAGATGGACATTGGGCTCTCCCTGGCAGTAAGGCTTAGCATAGGTTCTGCTCTTGTTGTTAATGATAGCTACTTCTTGATGGTACAGAAGAGCATCTGCTTGATGATAAACAAGAGCTTCCCAACTGCCTTGTGCAGCAGCTTTTTGTGGCCCTTCAAGGTAATGTCACTGAGCCAGCCCACCGCCCAATCAGAAAGGCTCAGGGGGCTGTGACAGGAGGCTAAAGTGCTTAACGACCTCTCACCTGTCCTTCCAAGAATGTAATTTTACAACAGTAGCTATATTTTGATACACTCACATTTTATGACCTGAAAAACAATAGATTATTGTGTGTTATAGATACCAGACTTGACATACCTGTAATGTATGCCTACCTCAGAAGGGCAAATGTGGGTCTCTAGCCCTCTGGACCTTCTAACCCCGCCGTGCCTGGTATGCTTGTGCTCAGGATCAAATGATGCGCATATAT